TCTTGCTAGATCTGAAACATATCCTTTGAGCGGATGGAGTGCCCATTTTGCGCCCACGGATCATTTGTCCCCGGATCTTGTCATTGTTCTTATTGTTAATGCCATGTTTTTCCCATTTTATACCATCTGGACGATTTCCACGGGATATTCTAGATACTCAGTCTATGTAGATAGGAAGATCTTTGATCATCTCATCTGTACTAAGTAAACTAAACCTTTATCACTATAGAAGGCATGTTCTTAAAAGCTGCAATTAGTAATATCGAGTTAATGCGGTATCACGGTAGCCTATTGCTCCCGCGAGGGCCTTCAATCTGAATAGTAATGATGTTGGAAACGTGACTTCACACCGTTGACCCAACTTCGACTTACCTAATAAGCGCATCGGAAAATGTGGAGTCTTCACAAGCCACGGCCAAGGAGTAAGATCCCACGACTCCTACCACCAAGGTTGTTGACAAAAAAGAAACTGTCACAGTTTTCACCCTAACAGGCCATTCTTGTTGGATGCCACTATAGACACCAGACCTTACAGATACCACAGAAATTTTTCAGTAGAATTTATTCTAACGGCGATTATATATCAAAATTTGGTTTTAAAACTCAATATATCATAATATTTTCTGTATTCTCACTATTGGCATATACGTATGTGTTAAGGAATGTAACAGCTCCTTTGTCAGCGACCTACTCTAGCGTGGGGTTCAATAAGCCCGCAACCCTGGGCGAATATACTAGAGCCTCCAAAAGCGGGATCGGATTGCACTAACTGCAGCTAAGCTTTCCTGGGTACTACCTGGGTAGGACTAGTCCTGGCTTGGTAGTAGTTAAATAGACTGCCTGTCCAGCATCTACTACGTCATTTTGAAGAGGTTTGGCCAACTGACTTACGGAACTTGCACAAATTCTCGTCAAAGGGCACTTTTGGGACCAGATGCGATGGCGCAATCCAAACTAGTATACCCTGCCCCTGTCTAGCCTATAATAATTATGCCTGTACTTTTACTATAGACGGAGCCTCCGAGATGCTGGCAATTTTTGCCCCGTATATACAGCTCAAACCCACACCCGTTAAAGTTTTAATCCTAATAACACTCAGAGTCCTCTACACGTACCTATTAATTGTATCTGGGCTGTTGGATACCTCCAAAAGTATATCTCTTACTCCTCGCTTGTCTTGCATGCCTTGCCATCCATCCACCCATCCATCCGTCTATTCGCTGATTGACATTGGTTGATTGTCTTATTATTTACTTGAAGCGATTATCTGCCACCATGAAGACAGACTCTGCGTTTGACTACTCATCACCACCCTACGACACGGATGCCGTAGACACGATCCCTCGGGGCTGGTCCGCCTGGTTTGGTGGTCCTAATACCGCTATCGGTCCTCGCATCTCACCACGCATCGCTCCTGCAGGAGGTGAGATCTCCGACGACTCTGATAGTGGCCTGAATAGCGATGCTATCCTCGAGAAGCAGCTAGCTGAAGAGGCTGGGAGCGCCATTCAATACCGCACTTGTAGTTGGCAAAAGACTGCTGCCTTGCTCTTCTCCGAGTACATTTGCCTCGTGAGTATAATCGTCACTTCTAGCTCTCGATCCAACTGGATTCCCTTTCCACTCTTTCATCCATACTTCTAAGTAAAAGTACCCAATACTAAGTTGTCAATGCCTTGCACCCCTATGTCTTTGGATTATCTTGTCCTTATGTCTAAGATACAGCGCTGACTATTGGATAGGCTATTATGAGTTTTCCCTGGTCTTATAGTATACTTGGCCTGGTACCTGGGTAAGATAGCTTAGTCCAGCAAGTTACAGAGGCTATCTATACTAAGATTCTTCGCAGCCTCATCCTCACTGTAGTCCAGGCTCTTATTGTCCTGTATACGTAAGTGCTGCGGCCTTCTTGCGGCCTGCCCTTGTCCATGCTGACTTATTGTACAGTTCTCTTATCCTATGGCAATTTTGCTTGCGACATCCCGAAGTCCGAGATGTATGTGACATTGGGCAGATGCTATTCTGGAATAAGAAGTGGGCATGGTGGTTCACCGCCGTCATGTTCGTACTGAACAATACCTTTATTCAAGTTCGTGGACTACATTACCTGAAAGCTAGATTATGCGGTCTGACTTATTTTCCTAGGCCCTTCACGTCCTCACCGGAGCCAAGTATGTGAACACCCTGATTGGAGGTGAGACCACGGCCATCTCTTGCCAGACTGTAACCATCGGTGCCATCGTTGCTATCATATCATGGATCGCTTCACTACCACGTACTTTTCGTGTGCTCTCCCACTTAGGGACTGGATCGGCAATCTTTACGTTCATCTCAGTCATTTTGGCTGTTATTTTCGCCGGCATCGAGAGTCACCCCGCCGGTTATAGCCCAGTGCCGACAACGGACCCCCTTACAGGCAAGGCTTTGCCGTTCGGCGCACCGATCGTTACAGTGATACCTTTAGCTACCACCACCTTCGTCAATGGCCTTAACGCGTTCCTGAACATCAGCTATACCCTCATTGGTCAGATCACGCTGCCTAGTTTCATTGCCGAAATGAAGGAGCCTCGAGATTTCCCCAAAGCTTTGTGGGCATGTACCATTCTCGAAATCATAGTGTTCAGCCTTGTTGGAGGAGCCGTATATGCTTACACCGGAAACCAATACATGACGAGTCCCGCCTTCGGATCTCTACAGCCCCTGTACAAGAAAATTGCCTTCTCTTTTATGATCCCTACGATCATCTTTCTGGGCGTTCTTTATGCCTCGGTCTCGGCTCGCTTTGTGTTCCTGCGTATTTTCCATAACACACGGCATAAGAACGAGAATACCGTTGTTGGCTGGGCTTCATGGGCCGCTATCTTACGTATGCGTTCTGGGCCCCCAGAGAGTCTCGACGCTTGCTAATAATTTTTTCTAGTCGTAACTTGGATTCTTGCCTTCATTATCGCCAACTCTATCCCATTCTTTAGCTCGCGTAAGCATCTGCTTTTCCGAGAGGCATAAGCTCAACGACTGACATGCCTATAGTTCTCTCCCTCTTGTCCTCTCTGTTCGACTCCTTCTTTGGTTTTATCTTCTGGGGAGTGGCTTACTTCCGCATGCGCAAGGCAGACGGTACCCTTTCTCTTTTCAAGGACCGAACTTTCCGAGGCTGGTTCGAGGGAATTTTGAATATTATTATCATCGCCACTGGAATTTTCTTCCTAACTGCAGGAACATATGTCACCATTCAGGGCATCATTGACGAGTATGCTGCAGGATCAGTTCGCCAACCGTTTTCTTGCGCTAGCAATGGGATTTGAGAAAGGATTCTTTTCTTCATCGTATCAAATTAGCTTGTTTAGGAGATACCCAAGGACGAGGAGCCCTAGTGGAGTATAGGGAAGTAGTCATCAAGAGCGTGTACATACGTGGGACATGTTTGAATAGGATCCTTTTGGGAGTGCTGGTATCCAATCTAGGCGGATGATTGGATATATGGAAAGCAAGCACCGAGGTTCATCTCTCAGCATAGTAATGCAGGACAGGAAAGATGCGCCTTTTTGCTGCCGTCTATTCCTGCATCTCGCATGAAGCCCACGGCGCATCTAGTAGATGCATTTGGAACGGCCATTCGAAGACTGATAGAGTCTTTGTCTTGTCTTTCAACAGCGAAAACCTCTAGGCCTAGCAGCCGAGGCTCAATCTGCTCAACTAATTGGCTAATCTCATCACAGATGTTAATCGTTCAGGGGGTAACACCCCCTCCCCAAGGTTTGGTCCCCAGAGAAAGCAGGTATGTACAATGCCGACCCCGATTATTCAGACTGTAGATAAGTAGATCACTACGAGTGCGGCTCGAATGGGGACTGTATATAGGCCCTATTCCCACTCTTACTTACATGGGTGCTGCTATCTTGAACCAAGAATGAATTCCGCGCAAATCGCTTGCTTGTTTATACGAATAAATGGACGATGCGCCAGATTCCATCTTAATGACACGGTGATCGGATCAGCAGTGCACTGTAAATCAATCAATCAATCATGCAAGCTTGCCCTACCCCGTCTACCTGGACTGTTTTTAGTGTTTCCTATTCGCCCTTCGGCATTATTGCCCTATATTTTTATCTACCTATTGTTCTATGACGATATTAGTGACGATGATGTAACGCATCCTCTATCAAGAACGGCAAGATGGCCGAGTTGGTTATGGCGTGAGGTTAAGGTCACCTTAGCACAATTTCCTCATGGAGCAATCCGCGTGGGTTCAAGTCCCACTCTTGTCACTGCTATTATCTTTTTCTCCTTCATTAGAAAAGCAATCATTCGATGGGAGAATTTATTACACGACTCAATCCACCCAAACCCGACATCATCAACACCCTCAGCTTCACCTATTAGGGATGAAGTTCCTTTTTCCCTCTTTTTTCCTTTTGTCTTAACAGGCTTTGTATGCAAAAATTTGTGCCGCCTTTCCTAGATACGGAAGGTTGGATAGATATTTTGTTTCCACTGTTTGCAGACAGAACGACTGGCTCCTAGACCACGATTTTGTATGATACTCTTAGCCCTGACATGCTGCCGCCGTCTATTATCGTTTGCATTTGGACCATGGCAAACTCGACCCTTATCCTATGTCCCATTTCCCACGCTGTGCAAATCGTTGCCCAATGTCAAAATAATAACCACGCTTAGGGGATAATTCGGGGTTATGCTTTTCATGTAGATGCCCCTCTGTATGACGACAACATGGCCATAATTGAACGATTGTGCTGGGTATAATATCATGCTTTCCAACTCTAGAGCGGGGTCCTGGGGACGTCGTTCCAGTTTTCCTTGACCCCGCTCTGCCTGCGTTTACAATCTCCAACTTTAATTGTTACCGTAACCAAACCAGCACCCGCACCAGTGACTATTTGGGATTCCCCATGTCCAAACGACCCGAGGTAAATAAGGACATGAAGAATAAATTCCTTTCGCGAAATCGGGAAAAAAGTGAAGCTACAAGCTTGTGTCATTGGCTGTAGCAGGAATCGAACCTGCGTCTGCTCGGCCACAACGAGCCGTACTAACCACTATACTATACAACCTGAAGTGTTGTTGTTGAAGTGCCAATGCTTGTAATTGGTTGGAAGGAAAATTAACTTGACCATACCTATATATCTTAGGTCCAACATATGCTGTACTCCCATGATAGGAACCACATCACAGTAAAAAAACAAGTTGGGGGGGCAGATGGGAAGATTCAAAGTATATCAACCACACCTAACTACCCGGCATAACAATACCGGAAATGGAGCGCAGTCCAGAGAGTTAAACCGCCTAGTCTAAGAGGCGAAGTGTTGTCTTACCGCTCACCCCACCTCGGTAGAGCAACAATAGCAAGAGCATAATACATGTCTTCCGTGATTCTACCCGTTCCAAGCTATCTAGTAAAGCCCAAGTAAAGGCATGCTTATTAGTCCCTTTCATTCAACAATGTTATCGAACTATACCTTACTTGTTCATCCAAGTACACTTTGACGTTCTAGATTCGCGACCATTTCACTCTAGAAATAGAAGAGCCTTTATACATAGGATACTAGAGAGCAACGACACGCTCACAAGGACATAAGATAGCGCCACGCGGCTCTTCACAGTCACTATTACAACCTAACCTCAGTATAAAACCAGGTAAAGGTAGAGGAGGTTTAGAAATCCTTTCTTCAAAAGTGTAGAATACTAGATGTGTACCTAAGCGATCCAGCCCTATGCATTCCTCGGCATCTCAAATCGAGATTCTGGCTCGTGTAAAAATGTGATAGAATTGTAAAGAAGGGGAAGTCCATAATAGAGATTCGACATTACAAAGGGTGTGTATTTCACTGATCTTGCCGGGGGGGTATCCAGAGAAAAACGATTTGGTGGCCACGCTAGTTGTATGTGTCATTGGAGCGAGTGTTTCGCAACTTCGATGATAATTGAAGCTGGACTCCTTCCACCAGGAAAAACGAAGTAACAAACACGACAATCGCCATTTTCATGTCTTTCGAGACAGCCATAAACACCTATCAATATAAAAAAGAGGCTCCAAAATTAGGCATCTATAACTCGGGGCGGAGCCACTATGCTTGCCCTAGTTGGAATCTTTCCGAGCCACGCTGGCCTGAAACCAGCATTCCCACATTCAATCTTTATCGCGTCGTATCTCGGCGAAACGTTTCAGTCATGGCTCGCATTGTCGCCTCCTCCTAGGGATTGGGCGTTTTTTCATTGTGGGTTGTTTGTACAGGCGGCGGGGAGTATGGAAGCGGGATTTCATGAGGAGCTGGTAGCGGATTCGATTCATCCGACTCCTGAATAGGCGATGGGCCCACGGCAGGTCTCTTCTCATCTATACTCCTCTTTATGTCGATACTCTTGTTTCTTGTAGGCAGGAACCCATGACCGTGTTCTGGCGGAGACTTGGCGCGTTTGTCGACATTTTCTTTGGCCTCACGATATTTATTCTTGATCCATCCTATTGGTCCCTTGGGGTCGTCTTTCTCCCGCGTCCCGGCCTCGTTTTCCGGCCACGCCGCAATCATCTCAGACGAGTCGCCAGTCCAGCTCTTGCGCGCTCGCTGGCTGCTTCCAACCGTCGAACTACTCATTTCCGCATGACTGTTAGTGCCTAAGTTTTGGCTGGATGAACTCGCCATATCTTCTTTGTGCCGAGATATGCGCCAGCGACGTTTCTTTTCCTTTTCAGCATGCTCGGCCGAATGCTCGACCGAAGAAAGGTAAGCCGTTTCCTCTAGCTGATCTATATCAGAACCCTCGTTGAAGGAGGAGTGCAATGACCCAGTTTGCGATGGTTTGGGCTTAAGCGAATCAGCGCTATGGTCAGCTTTACCAGGAAGGAGGCCTGCTGATGGTACCTGAGACGCTCTGGGAGTGGGCTCGGATGGGGTTTCGATGGAGGCGCCATTTTCAGGCAATGTGGGTTCTAGATGAGAGAATTTTTCAACGGGATCAGAAGCTTCAGTGGCGGGGAGTCCAAAAGCAGAATGTGTCAGAGAAGCAGTTGAGCTTTGAGCGCTTGGGTTTGCGCTGTCGGGTAGCCTTTTCTTACGCAACTTATTAGGTTGCCTCCTTTCACTGTCTGAATTTGGCGAACGTTGAAAAAGGCTCTGCAGATTCCTTTCCTTTGACGGTGTCCCGCTATTGCTGGGGGGTCCTAGCAGTCTTTCCTGACTTCTACCTGCTGCGGAATGACCTGGGGGTATAGTAGAGACTGCTGCTACTGGCATCGCCGTGGGGGTTGCTGGAGATTTGTCGGGAGAGGTGGACGTCTCCTCAGCCACTGCTGGGGCAGCACCAGCGGTAGGGCCAGGAGAGGGAGAGGCAGGCGCCACCGCCACCACTGGTGAATGTTGTCGGGATGAAAATCGGCCGGTTTGTAGGAGAGGAGATTTTTTGGACGGAACAGTATTGCTCCTGCCTAGACCACTGCCTGGAGTTGTAATCGTAGGAGTACCAGGAGTCGATGCTCCATTTGAATAACGTGACTGACGTGACGAAGTTGAGCGATTTCTCCGTATCTTGCCGTCCCTGGTGACACTTTCAGCTCCAGCACTAGCATTCGATGAGGATCGCACTACGCCGGTCTTGCGGTTGGGTGTACTTGGAGTCACAATTTTGGGCGTTCCCTTCTCAATCTCTTGCTTTGTCTGCTCATCAGTGCCAGTACCTTGCATGCCAATCAAGAAATGGTCTTGATGTTCAATCAGGAAGATGATGACGCATTGATTGAGACGGTATTCCTCAGGAGCCATAGCATGCTGTGGATGAGACAACATCCCAGGTTGGAATATGGCAGCAAGATTCTGAGCTGTCATACGATTCTCGTCGGCTTTCGCAGCAAATACCGCAAGTAGATCTAATATATAGAGCAATAACTGACGGTTCAGCGGGGGCAGGTCCTTAATTAGCTCTTGGTACTTCTCAATGGCTTCTAGCTCATCGAAGTTCTCAAGAAACTGAGTGCCTTCAGTATCGCCCACAGCTTGTTTTGTATGACCCCGTAGCGGTTCTCGGAAACGCTCGTATAATTCTAACGGGACGACTGGTTCGGGGAGATCGTTCAAGTATCGACGAAGAACATTGGCAGCATCATGAACTGTGTATCCATCCCAAACAAGCCCCTTACCGTATCGGTCAGGAGAGTCGAACTGAATCTTTAGTTCCTTGATCCGCTTTTCTGAGCCATTGAGTCGAAAGATGCCCTCCACGCTTGTGGCTGTCACAGGAACGTTAGCAACACTTTCTTCCCGGAAAGCTGAAGTCACACCTTTTTCTTTGAGGTATACGCCACATTTAGCTACCACAATGGGCACATATCCATATATATAGCTCTGGCCGTTCTCGTCGACGAGCGAGATGGCGACATTTGCATAGGTGATGCTTTGACGAAGGGGGACACCGAAGATGCCTTGAGTTCGCGTTTCTATATTGATGGTGGTCAGCCAAGTCATTTTAGCATGCTATCATCTTTGATTTTCTAGAGGTACGAGATGTGCAGGCTTTTGAGTAGGGATAGGGATAAGATTATGCGGAAGTTGAGGTGCTGACTCGTGCACCACCGCAAGCGCCCGAGAAAATGTAGCATTAGAACGCGCTTCGTTAATAGAACCGCCAAGGGGCAAAGAAAAAGCGATGGCAATCGAAAAGCAAGCAACAAAGAAGCTGAGAAGTACTTGGATCTTCACGTGATAGAATCGGGCAGGACGGGGTAAGGCAGGTCGGCAGAGCAAGCAAAGTAGGAGGGTGTTTGTTGGTTTGTTTACCTCGCGTCTCATGATGTCTGCTGGGTTGAACCTGAAACTTCTTCCACCATGACTTGAGGTCGGCTCGCTTACTCGGAGGCGACGCAGGCGTTGCAGGAATTTGGGACGATGGTTGTGGTGGACTCATCTGGTGTTGTTGACTTGTTGGCTTCGAGGGAGTGACGGCGGACATCATTGTGTCTATGACGCGCGGGATACCGTGGACGTTGTTGAGGCTGGGAAAATGCGGCTTCACAATCGGCAGCGCATATAGTCGTCCTACGATTCCATCAAAGGTGTTTGATTAATCGGGAAGTGATCGGATAGTTAATCGATGAGGGTAGATTGGATTGTTTTAGCAATCGGCGCGTTGCAATACGTATGCGCAAGTACTGGAGATGTGAACGTCGTGGTAGTGAAAGCGAGGGGTGACAACAGTAATGGCGACAGCGATTCGATCGACGGTGCGAGTGGTGGATATGAGTGAGTGAGTGAGTGAGTGAGTGAGGTAGGCAGGTCGCTTTCTGTCTATCTGTGCGTGTGAGTTGTCGATAGACAGTATTGCCGACGTGCGACGAGCCCCGTTGAAACTTGAAAGAGGATGATAGAGGCGCGAGGGGCCGTGGTTGTAATTAAGGGACTCAAGCCAGGGCTCGCGCCGGAACGGGCTGGAGCTGGGCTTGGGCGGTAGTCACTGGTAGGCGGAGTCCAACTGTTTCAGACGAGGCATGTAAGATGCAAAGTAGTGGCGGCTAACTACTGCACTGCTGAGGAGGTATTGTGATGGCAGCAGCAACAGCAGCGGAGGCTGATGCTGTTTGCATACACTGTCAACGTAAAATAGTCTAGAGGTAAGGTACCTGAGGGAGAACCCAAGTGGGCAGCGTGATTATAGGATGGAGTGATGGAAGGTAGGTAGGTAGAAGTGATGATTATGATGACATACTCTGGAGCGAGAAAGTGAGGGTGAACCAAGTGGGCCGTACCCTTATTCAACTCAGCCGCCGTTGCAAGCTCTTGCGATATGTACGATATGTAGTCCTGGAGGGCAGACAAGCAGACAAGCAGACACTGGGAACGAGGCGGGTCATGAAATGAATGACAGCAGCAGCAAGCACCTGGGCAGCGGCGGGGGGAAGTGGCAGGTGCCCAAGCGCTGTCTACCTACCTAAGGTACTTTGTAAGCTGTAGCAGTCTTATTAGGTACTTGGTTAGGTACTAGGTTAGGTACCTAGGTAGACCTTGCCCGTCCAATGACATTCAATTCCTCTTTGTCTTTTGTCTGGGGGCCAAAAGCTAACACA